CAATTTTCGGGTGGCTAAGGAAAAATAAGATAGCAAAGGACGTTTTGTGAGACAAAATTGATAAACAAAGGCAGAATTGTGTGTGTGTGTGTTGGGGGGTGGGTGGTGCTTTTCGGGGACGAATTTCAGACTATGTCGATGACTCTCAGGAATATTCTATGATGCCACATGAAAGAGGGATAAATACCCTTTCCTCCCATGTAATGTATTGGGTGCCTCAACGAAATAAATAGAAGAGCACGTTTACGTTTGGTAAAACATAAAAAGCCGGGGTGGGGTGTGCTTTTCGGGGACGGATTTCAGACTATGCCAAGGACTTTCAGGAATAATCTATGGTGTCACACGAAAGGGGATTAAGCACTCTATAAATCCATATCATGTATTAGGTGGTCCAGGAAAAAAAATAGCAGCGGACGTTTGGTACAATAGAATTGACAAAAAAGACGGAAGTGGGGTAAGTGCTTTACGGGGACACTTTTCATGCTATGCAGAGGACTTTAAGGAACAATCTATGTTGCAACATGAAAGAGGGGTCAACACGCTTTCATTCAATGCCAAGTATTGAGTGGCTCAAGAACATGAGAAAGCAGTGGATGTTTGGTAAAACAGAATTGGCATAAAAGAGGGGGTAGTGCTTTTCGGTCACTTATTTCAAACCAGGTCGAGGGCTTTCAGGAATAATGGTTGGTCCCACGTGAAAGTGGAGTAAACACTCTTTCAATCCATGTCATGTATTGGGTGGCTCAAGAAAATAAAATAGCAGCGGACGTTTGCTGCAACACAATTGACAAACAAGACGGAGGGGGGGGGGGTTACAGCTTTCCTGGGGCGGATTTCAGATCATGCTGAGGACTTTCAAGAATAATCTATGGTGCCACATGATAGAGGGATAACCACTCTTTCATTTTATGCCAAGTATTGCGTGGCTCAAGAAAACGAAATAGCAGTAGTCGTTTGGTAAAACACAGTTTGCAAAGAAAGGGTGAGGGGGGGCATTTCGGACGTATTTCAGACTATATCAAGGATTTTAAAGAATAATCTATGTTGCAACACGAAAGAGCGATAAACTGTGTTCCATTACATGCCAAGTATTGAGTGGCTCAAGACAAGAACATGAAGCAGCGCACGTATGATAAGGTTATTGCCATGAAAGAAGGGGGTGGGGCGGCTTTCCTGGGACGGATTTAAGACTCAGTCGAGGGCTTTCAGGAATAATCTATGGTGCCACATGAAAGAGGGATAAACACTATTTCATTCCATGCCATGTATTGAGTGGTTCAAAAAAATAAAATAGCGGCGGAAGTTTGGTATAACAGAATTGATAAAAAAAAAGTGAGGGGTTAAGTGCTTTTCGGGGAAGGATTTGAGACAAAGTCGAGGCCTTTCAGGAATATTTTATGGTGCTACTTTTAAGAGGGATAAACTCTCTTTCAATCAAAGTCTATTTTTGGGTGGCTCAGGAAAAATAAGATAGCAAAGGACGTTTTGTGAAACAGAATTGATAAACAAAGACATTCTTTCATTCCATGCCAAGTATTGAGTGGCCCAAAGAAAATAAAATAAGAGCGGACCTTTGGTAAAACAGAATTGAAAAAATAAACACGGGGTACGTGGGGGTAGTGCTCGATGTGTTTAAGGAATAATCTAGGGTGCCACCTGAAAGAGGGATAAACATTAGTTCATTCAATGTCAATTATTATGTGGCTCAATGAAATAGCAGAGGGCGTTTATTGGTAAATAACAATTGACAAAAAAGCGTGCGGGTGGAGGGGGAGTAGTGCTTTTTCGGGACGAATTTCAAACTATTTCCAGGACTTTCAGGAATATTCTATGGTGCAATGAAGTGTATTGGTTGGCTCAGGAAAAAAAAGAAACATTTATGTTTGGTAAATGAAAATCGATAGAAAAAGGAGATCAGTATATTCCGGTGTTTTGCGATTTAACCGGTAATTAATTCCACCTGTTTTGCGGTGACTTTCAGAGACTTTCAGAAATTATCTATGGTGCCACAGAAATGGGGGATAAAGATTGTTTTATTTCATTCCAATTATTGTGTGTCTTCAATGGTTTAAATAGTAGCGCGGAAATTTGTTATTCATTCTGTACGCTCACTTCAACGACTAAGCGCGCTGTATCATCAAGTCTGTCATTGAGTCGACTGGCGTCCTCCGGTTTCCTCACACTGCTAAAGACCCCTACGCGCAAGCGAATTATTGACCTAAAATTAAACCATATGTTAGTCCCGAAATGACCTAGTTTGTGTCGAGTGGACGTTAAACCCCATTTCTCTCTCTCTCTCTCTCTCTCTCTCTCTCTCTCAACGACTAAACATTGTGCTTTGTTAACCACAGCTTTTGACGATGAGGGTCAAGGTCATAAAACGTCCGCTCAGCGTAACGTCCGCTGACTTCAGCCCAAGAAGTTAGCACACATATTCCTAGCGCCAATAAAAACCTAGATATAATTATCACGAAAATAATTGTTACCTTTTTATTAGAAAATAACATTTAAGACATATTAATGCAAAGTATATATGTAATAGACAACCCCCCCCCCCAAAAAAAAAAAAATATTACCGTAAACATACTAAAATATCGCACACTAGGCTAACTGAGCACGCAGAAAAGGGGTACGTCCACGCTGCATCAAAACGCACTTTTCACAGAATCAAGGGATTAATAAACTACTAGACTGCAAAATTCGAAAAGCCTTCTCTGTTAGCTTTTCAAGATATATTACCGTAAACATACTAAAACTATGGGGGAATCGGGTTAGATAGGCTGGTTTGGGTTCTTTTTGATGCAGCTTGGGCGTACCCCTTGTTTATTGAACCCGCCAACGCCGGCTCGAATCCGGGTGCTAGGAACTTTACGGTGGTATAACTCGATACGCCAACATAGAAAGTTAATGAACTTTTGCATGTTCATACCTTATGCATCTGTCGATTTGGTGAAATAAAGTTCTTGGAGCCACCAAAGATAGTTTAAAAGTTATTGCGTGCGCAGTCAGCCTACCCTAACACGATTCCCCCATATTTTTAGTATGTTTAAGCTAATATATCTCGAAAATCCAGCATAGGAGGCTTCTGGATTTTTGTATTCTAGTAGTTTATTCATCCCTTAACTCTGTGAAATACAAAATATTTTGCCACCAAAGCTGGTTTGGGTGCTTTTTGATGCAGCGTGGGCGTACCCCTTGTTTATTGTACCCACGAACCCCGCCTCGAATCAGTGTGCTAGGAACTTTTCGGTGGTATAACTCAATACGCCAACATAGAAAGTTAATGAAATTTGACATGTTTATACCTTATGCATCTGTCGATTTGGTGAAATAAAGATCTTGGAGCCACCAGAGCTAGTTTTGAAGTAATTGCGTGCGCAGTGAGCCTACCCTAACCCGATTCCCCCACATATTTAGTACGTAATACGGTAATATATCTCGAAAAGCCAGCATAGAAGGCTTCTTGATTTTTGTATTCTAGTAGTTTATTCATCCCTTGACTCTGTGAAATACAAAACATTTTGCCACCAAAGCTTCTTTGGGTGCTTTTGATGCAGCGTGGGCGCACCCCTTGTTTATTGAACCCACGAACCTCGCCTCGAATCCGTGTGCTAGGAACTTTGCGGTGGTTTAACTGGATAAGCCAACATAGAAAGTTAATGAAATTTGACATTTTTATACCTTATGTATCTGTCAATTTGATGAAATAAAGATCTCGGAGCTACCAAACCTAGTGTAGAAGTTATTGCGTGATCAGTGAGCCTACCCTAACCCGATTCCACCACATATTTAATGCATTTACGGTAAAACATCTCGAAAAGCCAGCATAGAAGGCTTCAGGATTTTTGTATTCTAGTAGTTTATTCATCCCTTGACTCTGTGAAATACAAAACATTTTGCCACCAAAGCTGGTTTAAGTGTTTTTTGATGCAGCGTGGGTGTACACCTTGTTTATTGTACCCACGAACCCCGCCTCCAATCAGTGTGCTAGGAACTTTTCGGTGGTATAACTCGATACGCCAAAATAGAATGTTAATGAAATTTGACATGTTCATACCTTATTTATATGCATCTTTCGATTTGGTGAAATAAAGATCTTGGAACCACCAAAGCTAGTTTAGAAGTTAATTGCGTGAGCCTACCCATATTTTTAGTATATCAAGGTAATATATCTCGAAAAGCCAGCATAGGTGGCTTCTGGATTTTTGTATTCTAGTAGTTTATTCATTCCTTAACTCTGTGAAATAAAAAACATTTTGCCACCAAAGCTGGTTTCGGTGCGTTTTGATGCAGCTTGGACGTACCCCTTTTCTGCGTGCTCAGTTAGCCCAGTGTGCGATATTTTAGTATGTTTACGGTAATAGTTTAGGGTTTTTTTTTTTGTCTATTACATATACTTTGCATTAATATGTCTTAAAATGTTATTTTCTAATATAAAGGTAACAATTATTTTCGTGATAATTATGTCTAGGGTTTTATTGGCGGTAGGAATATGTGTGCTAACTTCATTTCGAATCCGGGCGCTGGAATACGGGTGAGAGATTCCGCTCGATAATTCGGTAATTCCGCGTCACTCGATTGCAATTCTGTCAATTCGGGACGTTATGGGCTGTGTATCGAGCATCCCCTATAAAAATGCACCACAATGAATTCAAAATCAAATTTAGATAATCATATAAAAAAACTATGGATCAGTAGGACCATGGACCTTTAAGGTCCATCATGTAGGACAAGTCATTAAGGTCCATCATGTAGGACAAGTCACAAGGTCCATGACCATGGTAGGACAAATGCATCCGTCAGTAATAGTACAGTAAACAATCGAACGTAGTTATCTAAAACGACGACAGTGCTCAGCCAAAATCATAACCCATTGAAAACTGTTCTGTGCGGTTCGTTGGTTCGTTCCCGGGGTTTATAAAATATCCACTTCCACCTAGGGTGATATCGCAGTGCAAAAGTCCAGCGGGTACATGTAAGTGAATATTTACTGCGGATCAATTTGAAATCAATTCCGTCTACCAAAACATCTACCAATCAAATTCCCAGTATCTGCTCAGATTCTTTCTCGACCTTGACCTTTTTTTCCGGAGTCGGTAATTCACTTGGAACTGTGATTTTAGAAAATAGTAGGATTCTAAAGTTTCGACAAAGATGGTAAGCAATGTTAGTTTATAAATTTTGTAATAAATACATTAAATTCTATAAATCAAATCTAAAGCATTTCCAAGCTGTTAAACTTGTACGACGTGACTGAACTTTGACTGTTTAAAGTTTCAATGACCGTTGTTGGTTGCAGTATTGTCATTGAGTAATAATATAGGCCCTAGTTCGAAGCTCAGACACGCTTGCACCCTGTGATCATGTTATGTGATGTTTTCTGTTGTCAATAGGATAATAACATGGTTATTGTTACATTCTAGAGATATTTCATATTATTTTCCAAACTTTAATAAGCCTATAGGGCCTAGACCAAGACGGAAATAATTTTATTAAGTATTCTCATCTGACCTTGGTTGTCCTTATGGCTTATTTAATATTAATAGTAATACGATATCATCATTATCATTCAATATATTATATGTACAACACTTTGTCAACAGGTTACAGCCAACTGCAGACCCTTTTTATTGTTTTCACAACATGTGAAACGTGTGTATTATTTAGTTGTGGTCATTTCATGCCTTCAATGACAATTGAATGGCATAAAGTCAAATGAATTTTTATCAATATTTTCATCTGTAAATTTACAGTCACAATGCATTTGCCTTTGGGTGGCACGATTTGCGGTTACCAAAATTCAACAGTATAATAACTCATCACAATATATATCGATATTTGATAATATACTGTTCTTTATCCGGGACTTTTACTGACCAGGGATCACGTGGCTAAGTGAGTAAGAGTAGACGCTGGCTCGCTAGCCTGGAGGTCGGGTGTTTGATCCCTGCATTGGCCGAGGAAGTTCATCCAGATTTTCCGGCGTGGTTTCCAGGGCTGTCGGTAATTTTTCACAGATGATTAGCAGCACTGCTAATCAAAAAGTCCAATTTTGCCAAATTTGATTAGCAAATTTAAAAATTGATTAGCAGTTTTTCAGTTTCAACATAAAACACCTAAATAACAAGATTATTTTAATTTTAATTGATAACAAATGATTAGATTTCATTCTTAAGATTTTGTTAGAATTTTAGCACTTCTACAGGTAGCTGTGAACATTTCCGAATGAATGTAGACTTTTGGTTAGGCCTTATGTCTGGGCAGTGACTTCTTATTTCTTCGTTAGAAAACAATTTCGTCTGCTTTTTATCGTGTGTTATTATTTTTGTTCAATCGTAAGCACGCGGTATTTTACGAATAATCTCGATTAACTAGACGCACGCGATATAAACAATAATAGTTTACGGGAATTCTTACTTTGATTTCTCATTTTACAATACGTTTACACATATTTATTTTTTATATTTTATTTACAATACGTGGGGGATACACTGAATTTAATTTTTTTCAAATTGAATATTGATATAATTACTCGAAATTGACATGTCTCGCAACGTGAGTGGTACTACTTGATTCCCTATTTCCGGTTTAATAGTCCCGATTCATAGAGTGATGTCCCTGTATTATATAGCATTGTTATATAGTATAATGAATTAAGTCTGGGTAGTTCGAGAAGAAAATGTCACACGGAGAATTCCGTTTTGTTTATAAAATTTATTTGGTATTTTATATACGTTGAAAGCGTTGAGAAATGTGGATAAATCTTTGTGTCAATATCCAAAATGACAGGCATGTTAATGATTCGCAGTTACTGCGAATCAAAAACGTTAGATTTTAATTTTTGATTAGCAACGGACAAAATATGTATCGCAAATTGCGCTGCGATACTGATTGTCGGCAGCCCTGGTGGTTTCCCCTTGTCAGTGATGCAGGACGGAGGGCCTGACAAGGACAGCTGTTTAGTCGTTTGGATGGGACGAAAAACTGAGGTCCCATGTACATATTTGCGTGCACGTAAAAGATCCTTTGGCAGTTGGAATTTGATATACATGTACATGTAAGAGTATGCCGTAGCGCTGCTGCCCGGGTAAAATTTCCCTCATAGCACACTGTATGGCGTATGCCCCTCTTCATTAGCCCAGTTTACTAGCAGAACAGTACTTGACAGTAGGATGTTAAACCCCATTTCATTTCTTTTTACTGACCATTGGGTGGGGTGATGCAAATGCAATTCCCAACCGGAGTTCAGGGTTTCAGAAAGGTTGGGGCTATTTGCCACATGTGGTGAGACAATTCGAAGACTATTTGCCACATGTGGCAAGTCTCCGTACCGCAATTATCAACCGATTTCAATGAAACTTACAGATCACAATAAGTGAATAACATTAATAATATCTTAGAGTACCGGTAGCCAAAATTTCGACCACTTCCGGTCAACAGTTTCAAATACATCGAATTGCACCACAAATTTCATGTTGCACGACTGCAGGCCGCAATTATCAACCGATTTCAATGAAACTTGCAGATTATAATTACATAAATAATATCTCATAGTAGGCAAAGTTTAGGCCATTTCCGGGTAGCGGTTTCCGGGATATCAGGTTACCACACATTTCATGTGGCACGGCTACAGACCGCAATTACCAACCGATTTCAATGAAACTTGCAGATTATAATTACATTAATAATATCTCATAGTAGGCAAAGTTTAGGCCATTTCCGGTTAGCAGTTTCCGGGATATCAGGTTACCACACATTTCATGTGGCACGGCTACAGACCGCAATTACCAACAGATTTCAATGAAATTAGCCGAAACTTTGGCTACTTTGAGATATTATTAACGTAATTTTAATCTGCAAGTTTCATTGAAATAGGTTGGTAATTGTAGTCTGTAGCTGTGCCACAGGAAATGTGTGGTAACCCCCATATCTCGGAAACCGCAAAGCGGAACTGGTCGAAAGTTTGGCTACTCAGAGAAATTATCAATGTTATCATAATCTGTAAGTTTCATTAAACTCGGGTAACAGGTGCGGTCTGTAGTTGTAAGGCTATTTTGAAATTCTTGCTTACTACACGGCGGGACGATTTACCCAATATTATATATTACTACCCAATACTACATAATACCACTCCAATATCACCACATACTACCCAATACTCTACAACATAATGTTGCCAAATGAGCATATTATTTGATTTTGTTCAAAAATAGTGAGATGTATCGTGGGAAATGTACTTCAAATGTGATTACTGATGCTGTTCTATTTGCCTACCTATATCACCCAAATCAAGCAAATAATAACCCAATACTACCAAATACTTATCAAATACTACTAAATACTACCCAATATTATAGAATACAAACCTAATATCGTCAATTAGCAGCACATCAGTATAATAATTGTAACGAATATTCGATAATTTACAGAAAATTGAAATATTTACGCAGTTATCTCCCTTTACATTTGACAAATATATTTTAGATTGCTACTCAGATTAATCATCTTGTTGGGCTTTGCAGTTTGTTTCCAAGACGACGAAGTTAAAATAAGGAAAACAGGTTATTATAGATGCCTCCGCTATAGTGTATTCATACAATATTACAGGTTAAAAGCATATCAATATATAACCATAACATAAAATTAAAAGAGTTTTAAAAGAAGTTAACAAAGATTCAAAAATGCATCAAAATAAAATCAGTTTATAAAATAAACAGCCAAACATCCAAATAAAACAGTATTTTAGAGGTTGATTTAAAAATGTTAATTTAACGGTCTCGTGGCCTACTCAAAAGTCTTATTATTATACTATAATTATTTCTTCATCCTGGTGATTTTAATATGATAACACGCTGTCTGCAAGTGCACGCGGTCCTTTAAAAAAATCATTTGGGCATAATATGTCAGGAAAGCACACAAATTTTTCTTTATATCTGTCTTTTAATGACTTATCTTCTTTGTCTTTTAAATGATTCCGGTTCCAAACCGAACTCCTTTAAAAAAACAAACTCTTTCTTGTCAAAATTTCACCGATTCTTCGAATATTGTCACTATTGAACAAATTCTAAGTATTCTACGGTATATATCCAAAGGTGATGATGTCGCGGTGATGTCATTACCACCTAAATTAATAGACACGGTCACCGGTTTCCTCTCACATATGCATATTTTTATACGCCCACATTTTCATGTGGATGTATATTGTCGTCGCCCCCAGACGTCCGTCCGTCCGTCCACAATTTGTTTGTGGACACTCTACAGGTCACAATTCTTATCCGATTTTGACGAAACTTGAAAGATAGGTTTATCTCCAAAAGATCTCGGTTCCTTTATATATTGGCATGTATCGGATCGAAACTTCATGGATTATGGCCCCTGTTTGTACGAAAAATCACGTTTTTTGGCTTGTGGACACTATAGAGGTCACAATTTTTATCAAATTTTGTTGAAACTTGAAATGTAAGTTGATAATCCAAAGATCACGGTTCCTTTCAATATTCGCGCATATCGGACTGTAACTTTCTGAATTATGGCCCCTGATTGTACGAAAATTGCGTTTTTAGCTTGTAGACCCTATAGAGGTCATAATTTTTATCCGATTTAAAAAAACGTATTATTATATCACCGTTACACCCTAAGGATGGCTGAGTTCGAATTTCGTGAAAATCGACCCAAAACTGACAGACAAAATGGCCGCTGTTCGTTCTCAAATAGCGTAAAAATATGGTATATCAAGGTTGTGGACCCAATAGAGGTCACAATTTTTATCTGATTTTGTTTAAACCTGAAATGTAAGTTTATAACCCAAAGATCTCAGTTCCTTTTGATATTTGCGCATATCGGAGTGTAACTTCCTGAATTATGGCCCCTGATTGTACGAAAAATCATGATTTTAGCTTGTGGACCCCATAGAGGTCATAATTTTTATCCAATTTAAAAAAACGTATTATTATATTAACGTTAGACCCTAAGGACGACTGATTTCGAATTTCGTGAAAATCGGCCCAAAACTGATAGACAAAATGGCCGCCCATCGTTCTCAAAGAGCGCAAAATATGGTATATCAAGGTTGTGGACTCTATAGAGGTCACAATTTTTATCCGATTTTGTTGAAACTTGAAATGTAAGTTTATAACCCAAAGATCTCGGCTCCTTTCGATATTCACACATATCGGACCGTAACTTCCTGAATTATGGCCCCTGATTGTACGAAAAATCACTTTCTTTTTAGCTTGTTCTCTATCCATCTCTCGAAAATGTGGGCGTATCCTGCCTGGCAGCCGCTGGTGTTCATAGTTTATAACCCAAAGATCTCAGTTCCTTTTGATATTTGCGCATATCGGACTGTAACTTCCTGAATTATGGCCCCTGATTGTACGAAAAATCACGATTTTAGCTTGTGGACCCCATAGAGGTCGTAATTTTTATCCAATTTAAAAAAACGTATTATTATATTAACGTTAGACCCTAAGGACGACTGAGTTTGAATTTCGTGAAAATCGGCCCAAAACTGATAGACAAAATGACCGCCCTTCGTTCTCAAAGAGCGCAAAATATGGTATATCAAGGTTGTGGACTCTATAGAGGTCACAATTTTTATCCGATTTTGTTGAAACTTGAAATGTAAGTTTATAACCCAAAGATCTCAGCTCCTTACGATATTCACACATATCGGACCGTAACTTCCTGAATTATGGCCCCTGATTGTACGAAAAATCACTTTCTTTTTAGCTTGTTCTCTATCCATCTCTCGAAAATGTGGGCGTATCCTGCCTGGCAGCCGCTGGTGTTCATAGTTAAGTAGTTTTTTGATAGGAACAAAAATGTGATCCATATTTTTGAGGTCTCACACTCTAATTTTAAAGCATATTATTGTAAACGGTATGCTTTAATTATATAAGGATAATACTATAATAATAAAGAATCTGAAGATCAAAATTGGCAGTGTACAAACGTTTTTTCATGTGACATACATTGTGTAAATGTGCATCACCCACATGACATTTTGGAGTTTTTTCAATTCAACATGTCATCTTTTTGCTTTGCAGGCAGAACCCATCAAAGTTTTGGTAACTGGTGCTGCTGGTCAAATAGCATATTCCTTACTTTACTCTATAGCCAAAGGAGATGTTTTTGGACCAAAACAGGTTAGAATTTATAGAAATATCAGTCCTTCACGTTTAAGAGGAGCTTTCGCTCCTGCTCCTCTCGACGCACGTCAGCTTTCCTTCGAAGGAGTCATTAAAGACTCCTGCAAATTAGCTAAATCGCTCTCCTAAATATTGAGATTAATAAACTACTTTAAGTTTTTGTTTACTTTTAAATTGCATATATTCAAGGTATCAAGAGCTTTTTATGGCACCCGCACAATTTTATAAACATGAAGGACTGAAATATTATATTTCCAAAATTTACAACAACTCATTCATTTCCTATTCTCTCCACCATCCCCAGTATTCCGCTCCTACCCCTCTAAGGCCTGGATTCATTCATGTGGTCAGGACGGAGGGCCTGACAGGGACAGCTGTCTAGTCCCTCGGATGAGACGAAAAACCGAGGTCCCGTGTATACATTAGAATGCACGTAAAAGATCCCTTGGCAGTTGGAATTCGATATAAGAGTAGGCGATAGTGCCGCTGCCCGGGCAAAATTTCCCTCATAGCACACTGTATGGCGTATGCCCGTCTTCATTAGCCCAGTATAGGAGCAGAACAGTAGGACGTTAAACCACATTTCATTTCATTTCATTCATGTGGTAGTCACTATTAAATTTATCTGCCCTGGATGATTTCTTGGCCACAGAGGTTGATGCTACAAATTAATCAAACAAGTGGTGGCCAAGCAAGATAAAGCCACATTTTGCAAGAGATGAACAGAGAACAGGCTAAAAAAATAATTCAATTTACGGTCTGATATGCGTAAATATTGAAAGGAACCGAGATATTTCGATTATAAACATACATTTTAAGTTTCATTAAAATCAGTTCAAAATTGGTACTTCTACTTTGACATGTAGAGGGTCCACAACCTTGGTATTGCATACTTTTACACCGTTTGCGTACAAGGAACAGCCATATATTTGTTGGGCAGTTTCATGAAATTCAAATTTTGAGTTGTAATACAATAACTTCGAAATGAAGATAAATATATAATTATCGATGGCATATATCTCACATTTATTGGTTTTAGACCATCTCTTATGGTATTACGGACTGCAGAATTGTGACATAAATCCCAATAATGAATAACTAAATAACTAACAAGTAACTAACTTCACAGCTAGTGACACTAGCACCCCCTAGAATATCGTCGTGTATAAGAGTTACCATATATACACAACATTTTTGCAACACATGGAATTATCAATATTGCTACACAATAGCACTGGAATATGTAATTTTCTTAATTGTTCAGTAAGCAAGTTAACTAATCTCTAGATTTTATTTCTACAATTCCCACAAGGCCGTAATACCACTATAACAAAATTATATTACATTTTTCTCCCAACACGTACGTTGTTGAGGATTTTGTTGAGGATTTACGTAATTTCTATGCTGTTTTTATACGCCCACATTTTCATATGGACGTATTATGCCGTCGCCCCTGTCCGTCCGGACGTCCGTCCGTCCACAATTTGTTTGTGGACACTCTACAGGTCACAATTCTTATCCGATTTTAACGAAACTTGAAATATAGGTGTATCTCCAAAAGATCTTGGCTGCTTTCAATATTGGCATGTATCGGATCGAAACTTCATGGATTATGGCCCCTGTTTGTACGAAAAATCACGTTTTTGGCTTGTGGACCCTATAGAGGTCACAATTTTTATCCAATTTTGTTGAATCTTGAAATGTAAGTTCCTGAATTATGGCCCCTGATTGTACGAAAAATCGCATTTTTAGTTTGTGGACCCTATAGAGGTCATAATTTTTATCCGATTTAAAAAAAACGTATTATTATATCACCGTTACACCATAAGGACGACTGAGTTCGAATTTCGTGAAAATCAGTCTAAAATTGACAGACAAAATGGCCGTTCTCATTCTCAAATAGCGTAAAAATATGGTATATCAAGGTTGTGGACCCTATAGAAGTCACAATTTTTATCCGATTTTGTTGAAACTTGAAATGTAAGTTTATAACCCAAAGATCTTGGTTCTTTTCGATATTCACGCATATCGGACCGTAACTTTCTGAATTATGGCCCCTGATTGTACGAAAAATTGCGTTTTTAGCTTGTGGACCCTATAGAGGTCATAATTTTTATCCGATTAAAAAAATCGAATTATTATATCACCGTTACACCCCAAGGACGACTGAGTTCGAATTTCGTGAAAATCGGACCAAAAATGACAGACAAAATGGCTGCCCTTCGTTCTCAAATAGCGTAAAAATATGGTATATCAAGGTTGTGGACCCTATAGAGGTCACAATTTTTATCCGATTTTGTTGAAACTTGAAATGTAAGTTTATAACACAAAGATCTCAGTTCCTTTCGATATTTGCGCATATCGAATTGTAATTTCCTGAATTATGGCCCTTGATTGTAGGAAAAATCACTTTCTTGTTAGCTTGTTCTCTATCCATCTCTTGAAAATGAGGGCCTATCCTGCCTGGCAGCCGCTGGTTATCTAATATGATAGTTGGTTGGATTCAAAAAGCAGTACTTCATATCAATTGCCCTTTTAATACACCCACATTGAAATGTGGTCGTATATTGTCGTCGCCCCCGTCCGTCCGCTTCTAGAGGCTTAAGTTAATATCCGGTTGACTTTAAATTTATATACAGTGTTTAAGGCCATGAGATGAAGAAGCCTATTGATTTTCAGCGATTTCTAATAATTACTGCCAGAGTTATGGTCCTTGATCACTTCAAAGAATCTTGTGAACGCTCTAGAGGCCAAAGTTAATATCCGATTGACTTTAAATTTATACACAGTGTTTAAGGTCATGAGACGAAGAAGCCTATTGATTTTCAGAGATTTCAGATAATTACTGCCAGAGTTATGGCCCTTGATCACTTTGAAAAATCTTCTGAACGCTCTAGAGGCCAAAGTGTTAATATCCGATTGACTTTAAATTTATACACAGTGTTTAAGGTCATGAGACGAAGAAGTCTATTCATTTTCAGCGATTTTCGATAATTACTGCGAGAGTTATGGTCCTTGATCACTTCAAAACATCTTGTGGACACTCTAGAGGCCAAAGTTAATATCCGATTGACTTCAAATTTATACAGTGTTTAAGGTCATGAGGCGAAGAAGCCTATTCATTTTCACCGATTTTTGATAATTACTGTCAGAGTTATGACCCTTGATCACTTTGAAAAATCTTGTGGACGCTCTAGAGGCTAAAGTTAATGTCCGATTGACTTTAAATTTATACACAGTGTTTAAGGTCATGAGACGAAGAAGTCTATTCATTTTCAGCGATTTTTAATAATTAATGCCAGAGTTATGGCCTTTGATCATTTCAAAAAATCTTGTGGACGCTCTGGAGGTCAAAGTTAATATCCGATTGACTTTAAGTTTATACACAGTGTTTAAGGTCATGAGACGAAGAAGTCTATTCATTTTCATTGATTTTCGATAATTACTGCCAGAGGTATGGCCCTTGATCACTTCAAAAAATCTTGTGGATGCTCTAGAGGCTGAAGTTCATATCTAATTTTTTAAAATTTATACACAGTGTTTGAGGTCATGAGACGAAGAATCCTATTCACAAAAAGATATCTTAAAATATTTTGACAAAGTGTACAATAGCAATTCGACGATCTTTGTTGCAACAAGATGCAAGTTACTTGCTTTCCTTTCTATTTTCATATTTTTTGATTGGTTGATAAAAATAGCACAATTATCAATAACAAATAATTGTGTCTTCCCTGAGAATGGACCTGGGGAATGGATACAAGGATGCCTCACAAGATTTACATACCAAAGACTTTGTCACTAACCGTTGCTTGTAGCATAGAACTACTTTATGGTGGTATACCGTAAAATCAAGCCTGGAAATAAGACACCTGTCACAGACAATGTCAGACACAGATTCAGGCTTTGTCAGGCACTAAACCTCTGATGCCTGTCATTTTGTCCGGCACTGCCACTGATTGGTCTTTTTTTTTATTGATATTATTAATACACGTCCGGCACTAAATTGAAAATGTCAGGTACTATTTCATTACTGCCTGACATTTTGTCAGGTACATCTAAAACCGTTATTTCCAGGCCTGGTAAAATATAATTAGGTAAGTTGCTGTACATGCACAGAATAATATTGTATTATTGCTGTTTGCAGCCCATTTCTTTGGTTTTATTGGATATTCAACCAATGATGGAAGTTTTAAATGGTGTAGTTATGGAATTACAGGATTGTGCACTACCCCTTTTATCAGGTAGGTGTTTTTATATGTTGAATTTTCAAGTACTGTAGAAAATGTGTGAAAAGGACATATCTTTATGATCAGGGCCCACAACAGCACCCTCAGGGCCGTGGGTAAGCAACTCTGCGAGGGTGGGGGGCTCTTCAGCCAGACTCGATTAATTTTGAAAAATACATGGTCTCTATCACATTTTGGCTTATATCTGGGGTAACTGGAGGTCACTTTGCTAAAATACAGAAACTGAGTTCAACACAACAAGATATGACATACCAAATACATGTTGGGGGGTTGGATGGCTGAATGGTTAGCGTGCGCGCGCTGTATCATAAAGTCTGTCATTGAGTCGACTGGCGTGGTTTCGAATCCCCAGTTGTACGTGACAAGGAGTAGGGTCACCTGTCCAACCTCGTGGGTTTTCTCCGGGTCCTCCAGTTTCCTCCCACTGCTAAAGACCCCTACGCGCAAGCGAATTGTTGAAATAAAGTTAAACCATATGTTAGTCCCGAAATGACCTAGTTTGTGTCGAGTGGACGTTAAACCCCATTTCTCTCTCTCTCTCCAAATACATGTGGGTCGTGTCAACTCCTATGCACGCACGAAAAATAGACAAGAGTACGATACTTGATAGTGCTTTTTGGCACATCTAATCGATACTATCAATATTTTACCCAGCTCTACCGATGATATAGTAATACTTTTAACTCTCAATATGGCTACATGCCAATTTTTTATATATTTTTTAGAATAAAAAATCGTACTAAAAACGATATACGATAAGAATTTTATCCCCCCCCCCCCCTTAAATGTAGGGATGCATAATTTTGTAAAAGTAATAAAAATATTGAACGTGATGTGATAGTCAGGCCTGTAACAACAGATCTACTATAAACAGATTTAGATATTACATATTAAAACCTTCTAAATAAGCTGATAATATCTAATTCATGACTTGGCCTTGGATTTCCAATTTTTGGCCTTTGATCAAGGTTGCACTTTGGCCTTCAATCAAAAAAACGAATTTCGAGCCCTGCTTATTAACATATACGGACACCTGGCACACTATTAACCAGCTCACTAGAAGGATATTCACCGCACGGTAACAGTAAATCAAGCTGGCACACCATAAGAAACTATCTAGACGACCATGCGTAATCATGAATGTGCTAGGAAATAATTGATAGATTCAAACAGCCAAAGAAACAAACTTTTCAGTAATTTATAACACAATAGCTGGAATGTCGTATTAATACCCGTATTTTGATATTTTAAACACCCCCCACTCTTTCCGGTCTCTCTATAAACAGAGTTGAGTACAGCCTAATTAACTTTGATCCATTAAAAAAAAAATAATATATAAGCATTGTGCCCAACAAATAAATAATATATTTAAAGAGAGGAATGACTATACATTTTTTAGTATGGACATAGAGAATTTTTGATTATGCCCCGTATCTTTATTTTTATAGACCCACATTTTCATGTGGACGTATATTGTCATCGCCCCTGTCCGTCCGTCCACAATTGTTTGTGAACACTCTACAGGTCACAATTTTTATCAGATTTCAATGAAACTTGAAATATAGGTTTATCATCCTAAGATCTTGGTTCCTTTTGATATTGGCATGTATCGGACTGTAACTTCATGGATTATGGCCCCTGATTGTACGAAAAATCACGTTTTCAGCTTATGAACACTGTAGAAGTCACAATTTTTATCGGATTTGGTTTAAACTTTAAATGTATGTTTATAACCCACAGATCTCGGTTTCTTTCGATATTCGCACATATCGGACATTACAATAACTTCCTGAATTATGGCCCCTGATTGTACAAAAAAAATCGCGTTTTTAGCTTGTGGACCCCATAGAGGTCACAACTTTTATCCGATTTACAAAACCATTTGAATACATCATCGTTACACCCTAAGGATGGTTGAGTTCGAATTTCGTAAAAATCGGACCGAAACTGACGGACAAAATGGCCGCCCCTTGTTCGCAAATAGTGTCAAAATATTGTGTATCTGGATTGTGGATCCTCTGGAGGTCACAATTTTTATCAGACTTTGATGAAATTTGAAATGCATGTTTATAACCCAAATATCTTGGTTCCTTTCTATTTTTGTGCATATTGAATTGTGACGTCCTGAATTTATGGCCTCTGATTGTACGACAAATCATGTTTTTAGCTTGCGATCCATGTAGAGGTCACAATTTTTATCCGATTTAAAAAATAAATTGTGAATATATCACCATTACTCACTATGATCTTGGTTCCTTTTGATAATCGCGTATATCCGAATGTAACTTCCAGGATTATGGCTCCTGATTGTTTGGAAAATTGCATTTTTAGCATGTGGATTCTCTAGAGGTCACAATTTTTGTTTTCCGATTTTAAAAACCGTTTAAATATATCATCATTCCACCATAATGAAGGTTGAATTCGAATTTCAGGAAAATCGAAATGAAACTGCCCGACAAAATGGCCGCACTTTGTATGCAAATTGTGTAAAAGTATGCTACGAAGGTTGTGGACCCTCTAGAGGTCACAATTTTTATCCGATTTTGATGAAACTTAAAACATATCTTTATATCCCAAACATCTCAGTCCCTTTTGATATTTGCGCATTTCAGACCATAACTTTCTGGATTATTGCCCCTGATTGTACAAAAAATCGCGTTTGTTTTTAGCTTGTTCTCTATCCATCTCCTGCAAAATGTGGGCGTATCCTGCCTGGCAGCCGCTGGTTGTTTAGTTTAGTCCCGCCCCCCCCCCCCCCAACCTTCCTTCACTTCACTTCACCCCACTTTAATCTTATTTTGTAAAGTTAATATGAATGTGCCAGAAAATTATTTGCATATTTGAAAAGAACAATCAGTGATACGTAACATGGTATCTGGAATTTCAAGTTTAGACCAGTATTTTTACTTGAATACCCCTTTAATAGTGTGATATTTATTGGATTTGAATTATGAAAATACGATTGTACCAGAAAACTATACATATTTACAAACAGAAATGAAAGTGCTTTTCACTAATATATAACATGATACCTTTGGACATTGCACAGCAGCAGCACCCCCCCCCCCCCCCCTCCTCCATAATCATGGTAAAGTACCATCCAAAGTGTCATGGTAAGTAAATTGTTATTGTGTGCTATAGGCTGATTTCCTGTTATAGGGTTGTGAATATCTTTGTTCTGGCTTATAGTGTGCCAGGTATCCGTATATGTTAATATGTCACGTGATATCCTACATTTGCATATGAAAGTTGATGCTGTGCGAAACATGCTATGTAGAATGCGTGAAGGACAAAATGTAATGAGAGAAATGTAAAATGTAGACACCTCAAAAAAGCATTTTCCCAGAAATTTGTCATTTAACACTTAACATTTGACGTTTTACATTTAACTCTTGCCTTAGAAGTATTTTGACTTTATCATTACCGGTATCAGGACTTTGTACATTGTACTTTTTACATATAATGAATGGAAAAGACATTGTAGCAGAGTATTTAATATTGGCAGCGATAGGCTTCCATATTAATCTACATAAGAAGTTCTTCCAAATCCCCAAATTTGAAGAACATTGTCTAACTAAAAGATATAAAACCAGTACACCAAAATCGAGTCATAGAATAGTAGTTTCAAAACTTGCTAATGGGTACCCGGATTTTAAAAGCCATATCTCAGTCAATATTAATGCTAGAGTCATATAACTTTGCAGTTTTACATAAGTTTGTATGTGCTATAACATACAGACAACTTTCTTAGAATTCGGTCCATGAAATGACCTATGTACTATGTTTCAGTTTTACTGATTTGATAATAATCATATGGACACAATTTTGACAGGAAATTTTAAGCTAGCATGCATAGGGAAAAACAAAAGCCGTGACTACCAGATGCCAAAATATCAAAAAGTAAACATTTTCATTGCATAGACTATTTTCAATACCCAATATCATGTTGCACTGGATTCAAATGGAAGGGGTCTCAAATGGAATGAGGACAGACAGGGGCGAGTAGGTGGCTTATAGTTTTTTTAAAAAGGTAGACTCGCAATCTGATTCTAATCCTACCCCATATTCCTGAAGCAATGGTCCGAGAAATCCCTCGCTGGCCATTGCTGGATTGGTTTCTGATACTTAATCAAATCTATCCCAAGTACAGCAACATGATAGCCCTTTGTTTAATCTGGGGTCTTCCCTAAAACTTTGGACAGTGATTTACATGTAAGTTATTAAAAACGGTGAAAGTATTGTTCGTCTCCAAACAGTATTGTTTACATTGTATCCGTGTTGATAGCCTCGTTTGTCATCCAGTTAGTTTTTCTGCAATATTCTGCTGTGCACTGGTTAATTAGGCATAATAAAATTGTGGGTCATGACGTAACGTTATGTAAACATATTTGGTCCAATTTGGAGCTCTGTTTAAAGTGTAATGATATTGTTATGCAGTTAGCTATTGGTTGTTAATCAGACTATTGACCAGTCATAATTTGGAACAGAATTTTGCTCCCATTACAGCAGTGTTAAGGGGGATTAGCTCTAATCAAACGGAACACTGCGAGGAGTATGATCCCACAGACGCCACTAGGTACCAACATTCAGAAAAGTTACCGGTTTTCTTCTACTTTACGATCAAGTAAAAGTCTTATTTGTTTATTAATTTATACTAACAATTTCTTTTTAAACATTACTCTGCATACCTAAGCTCTGGCTTCTGGACATGTGTCTTATTGTGGCTAAAGCATATACTTGTACCTGCATTACATAGTCAGTGGGGGAGGGGCACAATGTCTCGGCGCTGATTGAAACGCGATTTGTAAATGACGATCCATTATCATCGTACGGCGCCTTTCTTTCTGCATACGTTAGAATTAACAGTACAAATAAATTTTGTTGGTAACCATCTAAATGGAATAACAGATTGAGAAGGGTCATCTAACTATCGCTGTATATGGCTAAAGCATATACTTGTACCTGCATTACATAGTCAGCTCAGCAATAACAATTTAATTAATATTCATAAGTTAACATCAGTGGTTAGGTGGAGTTCCCCTGTACGTAATCTATTTTTGTTTGAGTAGTGTATTAACCAACAAATGGCATACATCCAGGGTTTAATAATTAATACTTAAAGTGCACATAAGATGGACATGAAAACTTTTCGATACGTGTAGTCAATGGTTACTATATCCACTTTACGGCAAGTTCACATCAATCTGATTGCAATTGATTCAGCTATCTCCACTCAAAGTCGTAATTATTCCTTAATTACCTACATGTATATACAGCCGGCGTGTGTATTCATTAACGCCTGACTGATTCCTTAATCCCCCTAAATAAATAAAACAATTGACTACGTAATAATTTGTTTTGTAATTCATTCTAATTTAAGATCCAATTAATAATTTGTTTCATAATCTATGGTCGCTCTCTTTTCTCACGACAGCGATTTTAATACCCTCTACCATCGTGTGCAGTCCAAACGGTTCGAGATACATTTTCGTCAGAAGAGTATTGTGGTTCTAATTTCCCCGAATAAAGGAGTACAGGAATAAAAAGATGTGGTCATGCAAAATGTATTGTAAAAGTCAAACATGATCGGAACCAGGGCCGTATATATGATTTTAAAAGTGGGGGTGGAGTTCAGAGTGGTGGGGCGCCATAGCCTCCACGTATGTGATATAAGAATGTTTCGATCAGGGCAAACGAACCCATTGGCGTGTGGGCGCCCTTAAAACCGATCGACTGATCAGTGCCTTAAGAACATCACTGTGTGGTCATAATCAAGTGTATTATTTTATAATTGAAAGATTGTCAAATAATTTTTGTTTTTATACGCCCACATTGAAATGTGGACGTATATTGCCGTCGCCTCGTCCGTCTGTCGGTCCGTCGGTCCATCCATCGTCCACAAAAGTTATCATCCAATTGTTTTAAAATTGATATATGTTGTTAACATTAGTGAGATGAAGAAGCCTATTTAATTTCAATAATTTCTGTTTATTATGTCTAGAGTTATGGCCCTTGTTTCACGTTATTGAACCTTGCGAACGCTCTAACGCCAAAAGTTATCATCCGATCTTTCTGAAATTTATATGCATTATTTAGATTACTGAAACAAAGAAGCCTATTGAATTTCAGCAATTTCCGTTTATTACGTCTAGAGTTATGGCCCTTGTTTCACTTTATTGATCCTTGTGAACGCTCTAACTTGAAAAGTTATCATCCGATCTTTCTGAAATTTATTTGCATTATTTAGATTACTGAAACGAAGAAGCCTATTGAATTTCAGCAATTTCTGTTAATTACGTCTAGAGTTATGGCCCTTGTTTCACTTTATTGTCCCTTGTGAACGCTCCAACACCAAAAGTTATCACCCAATCTTTGTGAAATGTATATGCATTATTTAGATTAGTGAAACGAAGAAGTCTATTGAATTTCAGCAATTTCCGTTTATTACATCTAGAGTAATGATATTTGTTAAAATACGTTTTTCAGATGTGATACCAACTGCAGATGAAGCTTTGGCATTTAAAGACATTGATGTTGCTATATTAGTTGGAGCAATGCCTCGACGAGAAGGAATGGAAAGAAAAGATTTACTTGCAGCCAATGTTAAAATTTTCAAATCACAGGGAATAGCCCTTAATACTTACGCCAAGAAGACAGTTAAAGTAAGTTGATAGAATCAGTATAAAGTGCATTACAATTACAAAGATGTTTCTCATATTTGACAAGTAGATCTTAATCATCAATTTTTTGATTAAAAATTCATTCAGATTATTAAACATACATTATGCAAGAGCTAAATCTGTCTATTGCAGGTCTTTCTTTAGGCCTGAAATGTTATCTAAATTATTAATTAGACATTAATTAAATTATCTAGACCATAATCAACTCTAGATGGCATCGCTAGCCTACGATCTTAAGTGGATTATGAGCCGATTTACTGCATAACTTTCCTTCTCGATTAAATGATTAAATAGATAATCGAGACTATGCTGTTTATCGTACTGACTTTAGTAATGATGCCCGAGGCTAGGCAGAAATTTCATTCGCTTAGTTTTCGGTTCATAGTGGATCAATTTGAATGAAATTTTCAGCAAGTTGCCTTTACGTTATCTAGTTATAGTGAGAACTGCCAACTCGTTATCTAATCTCCCATAATGTATCTTTAAGTCTTAAAAATCATTTTGACTTGTACTCTATATTGTCGAAAATAATGAATCAAGCAGAATTATGTCCGTTATTCTTTTCAAACTTGTCCAACTGTGAGACTTAAATTATGTTAATATCTGATCATCATTTGAGGGGTTAATTCCTTGCAGACTACAATATTGTGAAAGTTGAATCTCTGAAAGGAATAGCACTAAATCAATGAAATAATGGTTTAATTATGTGTTTTGGTAGCTCTAGAGGCTACAGTTAATATCTGATTGACTTTAAATTTATACACAGTGTTTAAGGTCATTAGACGAAGAATCTTATTGATTTTCACGATTTCCGATTTAATATCTGATTGACTTTAAATTTATACACAGTGTTAATGGTCATGAGATGAAGAATCCTATTGATTTTCAGTGATTTCTGTTAATTACTACCAGAGTTATGGCCCTTGATCACTTTGAAAAATCTTGTGGATGCTCTAGATACCAAAGTTATGAATCCGATTCACTTGAAATTTATACAGTGTTAAAGGTCGTGAGACGAAGACATATATTTATTTTCAATGAATTTTGATAACTTGAACAGCTAAATTCATGATATTAAATGTTTTATACACTAAACGTTAGCATGGGGCAGAACTAAAAGCCAAACAAATTCTAATGATTTTCTGATAATTACTTAATGAGTAGTTACTCCTAATCAGATTTTAGTGTGTTATAAATATTTCATTACTGACAATAGAAAAAATATGCGACAACTCTTGCTGACTGCTCGGAAGAATTAGCTGCTGTGGGCGTATATTTCGTTGCCTGGCAACCTATCCCTTTTTTTTCCTGTGGATTTTAGTCAGAAGTTGCAGCCAAAACTGTGCATGTGCGTGCAAATATTCTGCCAACGTAGATAATAGGGACCTTTTGCATCGGTGTACGAATACGAAAACGTCATCGATTCGCGTGTACTCATGACTTTAATCCGTATTGAGTGTTCGGCCAGTGAAAAATGTTACGCGTATGGAGCTGGATGGCCTGGCGCCTGGTACGTTCGGGCATTTTTATGCGCGAACTCTTAGTTTTTTTTTTACTGGCATGCGCACAGGTACTATTTCTTTTTCTTTTAACAAGTACCCAAATCGGGGATTTCGTGCGGAGGTAGTTCGGAGGTAAACAGTCTGTGAAGTACAACACTTGCCACTGTACCTGTGTATCGCTAATTATAAACCGAATGTGTGAAGACAGTTCATACATATCACTCAAAAATTTTTCAGTACAAACTCAGTTGATTCACGCTCGATTTGCTACTAAACAAACCCATCGGTTTATTTTCTCAACAGTGTGACCCGAAGTGACCGCGGATTTATTGACCTTGTATGAACTTATCCATAGCTATATCCTTACACCGAGAGAAATTATCTAGTCTCGGTGAAAAGAACCATGGTCATCTGGTAGAAAATTACTTTTGTATTTTTTGGAACGGAAAACAGTGTTTTTAGAAGCAAACTAACCTGCCGCACATGAGGAAGTCATTATACTAATAATAAAAGGCGAGACCTCTTTTTGCGGCGCAGGCTTATCACTGAGTAGTAAACCGTCCACAAACAATAATATAGGAAGCCTAGTGACGAGTGTAGTAACTTGTCTACGATATCACCTTAGGTGGAAGTGGACGTAAAATCCCAGAAACGAACGAACGGACGAGTGTAGTAAGTAGGCTATAGACTATAGGTTTGAGTCGAGATTACTCGCTTTCAGTTTACTCTGTTTTTGCGATAACCAATTATGTGAGAAATACCATACTGACATTCGGTTTTTAAAAGTTGTACGCGAACTAAATGCGTTTGTTAGATACTGACAGAGCAGCCCCGAGTCGAACAATCGCCGCCCGAGCTGTCTTCGTCAGCTAGTTTCACAATATCGTGCAATAGGTGTATTAATGTGATTTTTAGGTTTAACCCTGCAAACAATGCCAAAATAGTGTTTTCACTGCTTACAGAAAAGTGAAATTTAAAAAAAAAATTTTTTATGAGGGTGACTCTCACACACACTCCCTATCGAGCTGCCGCTCGGTCTGCGCAGCCTCATGCCTGGCACATACTGTCAACATTGTATATTTTTCCGTATCCGCCCTTCCCCCCCACAATATATATTTCACGGCTACGTTGCGACGGTACCAGCATACCCAGTTGTTGACACCCATTACATCACTCCTGTCTAACAAATCATAAAGCTGTGGTGTTACGGTGGCGGCATAGTATTTCACCGTAACACCACAGCCACTCTAACCATTCATAATACATCTAACTATCCCTTTACAGCACTTCACTCCCTACACATTTCCCCTCGTCCTACTTTCCCAAACGTCAACAACACATCTCATACATCCAGTTCGCTGATTAACCCTTGTACCACGTCTACTGGATTTACGTAGGTATGCAAACGAATATGTTTCTTGTCTCATATATTGAATTTTCCACCATTTTTCGAGGCTTTGTGTATATTGTTGATTGTGTAGAGTTCATAGAATGTGCTCAAAAGCAATATTCTGCTTGACTTGTTGTACTTCTGCCAAAAAATCAATTGAAAACTTTGCCTTGACCGAGAAGTTATGGAGTGGAAATTAATATATTGAATTTTCCACCATTTTTCGAGGCTTTGTGTATATTGTTGATTGTGTAGAGTTCATAGAATGTGCTCAAAAGCAATATTCTGCTTGACTTGTTGTACTTCTGCCAAAAAATCAATTGAAAACTTTGCCTTGACCGAGAAGTTATGGAGTGGAAATTAATGCCATCTAGCTATTATCGTACGTCGGATTTTGAAACCGCCTGTTAGAGGATACGAAAACGTAAACGAACATATGTCGCTTTTGGTGTTTGCGAAAGTTCCCTATTGTTGGCCCCCGTGGAACTATTTATTAAATAGGTCATTTTTGACAAACAGGATGTGTTTTACGGATGGGACAAAAAAATTTCAGGTCGCCATATCTTGGTTATTTCTCAATAGATCTTCATCAGGTTTTTATCTTTTGATTCTTTCGACGAAATCTCATAGTGGCTCATACTGACAGTTTTCAAAATTCGGAAGTTCGCTGATTAGTTTTAGCGTCAAAGATTTTCGAATGTTTTCTTCAGCATTTTTTCAACATTCAAGATGGCATATCTTAGTTAGTATTTGAGGTATTAAGTTGAAACTTAGTAGAAATAAGGAACACATTGAGGCCTTCAAAATTTTTGTGATGGCTTCCAGAAATTACCAAGTCCTTCCGATTTTCCCCAAGCACTTTCAAAATAGGCTTAAAATGACATTCATGGTGGTATTAGCCCCAGATATTATCTTTCATTTTCACAGACTTTGTTCAATAACATTTTCAACCGTTTGGCCGCCATATTAGATTTTACAAAAGAACCTTCAAATCGATATTCAGCCGACATTTTGATTCCACTTCCAGTTTTTGAAAACTGTTTTTATACGCCCACATTTTCATGTGGACGTATTATGCCGTCGCCCCTGTCCGTCCGGACGTCTGGACGTCCGTCCGTCTGTCTGTCTGTCCGTCCGTCCACAATTTGATTGTGGACACTCTACAGGTCACAATTCTTATCCGATTTTAACGACTCTTGAAATATAGGTGTATCTCCAAAAGATCTCGGCTGCTTTCGATATTGGCATGTATCGGATCGAAACTTCATGGATTATGGCCCCTGTTTGTACGAAAAATCACGTTTTTGGCTTGTGGACTCTATAGAGGTCACAATTTTTATCCGATTTTGTTGAATCTTGAAATGTAAGTTTATAACCCAAAGATCTTGGTTCCTTTCGATATTCGCGCATATCGGACCGTAACTTCCTGAATTATGGCCCCGATTGTACGAAAAATCACGTTTTTAGCTTGTGGACCCTATAGAGGTCATAATTTTTATCCGATTTAAAAAACCGTATTATTATATGACCGTTACACCATAAGGACAACTGAATTCGAATTTCATGAAAATCGGCCTAAAATTGACAGACAAAATGGCCGCCGTTCGTTCTCAAATAGCGTAAAAATATGGTATATCAAGGTTGTGGACCCTATAGAGGTCACAATTTTTATCCGATTTTGTTGAAACTTGAAATGTAAGTTTATAACCCGAAGATCTTGGTTCCTTTCGATATTCGCGCATATCGGACCGTAACTTCCTGAATTATGGCCCCTGATTGTACGAAAAATCGCGTTTTTAGCTTGTGGACCCTATAGAGGTCAAAATTTTTATCCGATTTAAAAAAAACTGTATTATTATATCACTGTTACACCATAAGGACGACTGAGTTTGAATTTCGTGAAAATCGGCCCAAAATTGACAGACAAAATGGCCGCCGTAAAGATATGGTATATCACGGTTGTGGACCCTATAGAGGTCACAATTTTTATCCGATTTTGTTGAAACTTAAAATGTAAGTTAAAACCCAAAGATCTCGGTTCCTTTCGATATTTGCGCATATCAGACCGTAACTTCCTGAATTATGGCACC